CACTATATATATATATTGCAATATAGATGACAGAATAAAGATGATGACATAGATATAGTTTTAGTAATATAATTTTTTTTACTTTGGTCATGATTCTAATGATGACTCTCACGGAGAGTCGAAATATAGAGTATAACAAAAAAGGAACCTATAGCCGAATTAAAAAATATTTAAAAATCATAAAATTAAATAAATTATATAGTTTTTAATGAAATTTTTTTGAATAATGTAAATGAAAAGCTACGTTATCAATATAATTAAGTCTTAGATTTAATTTTAGTTCTCTTTACTCTCGTCTCATAGCTAATACTCGAACTAAACAATGCATTCAGCACTGTTTAGACTGACATATTTTTTTCGTTAAATATATTTTAATGAAAAAACATGGTTTCGGAATATATTTCAATACATTGTGACTGACAATAGAATAGATAAAATTTCCTAAACTAATTTAAAATACAGAATTGCAATTGAAAGTGAAGAGATTTTACTGTTTTCTTTTAATATGCTCAATTTCCACTTCAATTATCTAATACTGTGTTTACACTTCACAATTATCGAACGTAAGCCAGCAGTTTTTGCCGTATTGAAATAAACTGCCTTTGTGTAGGCAGTTTATGAACTAAAAAACTATAAATAAATATCAAGGATTAAATAAATGATTAAAAATGATTAAAAATAATATAATATAAAACTACAACTTTTCTAAAAATTTATTAACTGTTTTTGTTTGAAATATGGATTTTAATAAGACTCGTTGCTTATTTATTTTTGTTTTTTGGAAAACATATGTACGCATAATTACCACAATTATAAATTAGCAATTAATAAATAATTGTTGTTTTTTGTAATATTCCTACTTACACATGCCTATATGTATTTTGAAAGGATTGATCTGGATCATGCAACTAATTGCCACACATTTATTGGGATAAATACTTGCATCTGGACACTTTTACTCTTTGATAGCTGGGGGGATTCTGCAGAGTCCCACCTTCTCACTGACTAATTTATGTATTTCTCATAAGCTTCGTGATTATTTGATGACTGATCTAAGAACTGCGTACCGCTCTGTGTGGCTAGAGATTATTCTGAGAGATTAGATAGTGCTAAGTAGGTCAGTCTGTCCTTTTTTGGGAATAGCTTCAGGGCTCTGTCCGTTATGTAGTTTTTGACCGGGTCTATTCTAAGGTCTATTAGCATTTCATTTGTACGCATGTATCCAGGTACTTTGAAAAAGTCTTTGGAGAACCTGAATTTGAGCAACTTGCTGCTTCTGGATAGTAGAGTTGGCAGTTTTACTATATGCGGCACACCCATAGAGTAGTCCTGGTCTGATTATTTGGCTGTAGATCAGTTTTCTGTTCTTCACGCTAAGGTTATTGTGTTTGAAAAGTGATTGCAAGCAGTTTTATATGAATAGAAATGAAAATTCCTTATATATTTTATTAATAAAAAAATCAATTCAAAAATATATGATTTAAGTATCGGGAATATAAATTTAGTGTAGATTTTTAGACGTAGATTCATTTTCAAAGCATTACCTCGAAGATTGTTAAATTTTTTCGATCCCTCAACTTTTATATTGGATAATATATGTTTTTATATAAAACTCAATAGAATAAAAAATTTTGTAGGAACATTTTTTTATATGCAGTTTTATATTAATGTTCGGTGCAAAATGGATTTTTGGTACTAGGTTAAATTTACTAATTATGCAAAAATTGACTGCATTACTCATATTAAAATTATAAATATAATTGAGTTAAAATAGCCTAAAAGTTCACTAATTAACTGTAATTAAGATAATATTGTCTTTAACCACTTTAATCTGGTTACTACATGTTCTAGTGCGTAGGCCCCTGTTATGCACGCAGTTAAATGACAAATAATGTTATGCAGAGAGTCATATCCGTATTATCACTTTCATATTTTTACTACTACTTTTGTATTTTTTTATTGTGCCTAAATTTAAAAGAAATTTAAATAAAAAACATGCTCTCTTACAATTTGCGACGAAAAATGAGCAAAAGTAAAGAACTCATATGAGTTGTGAAAATGTTTATTTATTATTATGTCAGTTTATACTTAAAATTGATAAGTGTAAGAATTCGATTATGATTTTTATGACTGAGCAACACTGTTTTGAACAACCTGTCGAGGCACACAAACGTCGTCACCATGACCAAATTTAAACCGATATTTCTCTCAATCTCAATTTTTTAATTTACATTGAGAGTAACAACAATTTTGCAGTGCCTCATGACTTTCGGCATAATATGACATTTATAAAACAACACAGAAAAAAAAATATTTATATTTAATAATAATTATTTAATAATGAAATAATTTATATTTGTTATTTGTTGTTTGTTATAATATAAACACTTAATTTCAATTGTTTTGTAATTGCTAATTGCGGTTCACTAATTATATAGTGTAAACACTGTTGCACAACAAACATTGCCATAATACTAAGTTTGCCTATAAAATCATTTTAGCACATACTTATGTCGATTTTGTCTGAAAAAAGTAATTATAAGTACAAAGATAAGTTAAGTACAAAGGTCTGAACACAATATAAAAATTGTCAACAATGTTACGAATTCAAGACAAATTTTTTTAAAATTTTAAATATTTGTGGCTTCAATTGTAATTACTCATTTATTTTATATAGCATGTATTTATTTTTGATGTTTTCGATTGGTAAATCTGGATTTAATCTAGATTTACTCTCTCAATCAATACAATACAAACAAATCACACTTTAACTGTCAAATCATTTGAAGCTAATGTTAATTTCAGAGAAATCTTGCTACTTTGACAAAATATCTTGAGTATCATAAATTAATCTCGAGTGTTATACATTTTGCTCAAGATTTGCCAATCGAAAATGTGAATTGCACTAAAAGTAAATCTCGATTAAAAAATTTGCTCCAGATTTACCAATCGAAAACGTCATACATATATATATAATAGTTTTACTCTCGTATTTACATATATCCTCAGCTGGATTTAAGTTAATTCGTTTTTGTTCGAGTCTATAATAATGTTCGAATATAATATTTCAAAAATAATATTTTTATAAAACTTTTGAAATGTGTGGTGACCTAAAATTTGATCTATGTTGTTTTTGAATTGGATCTGCGGACTCATTGAATAAATTATATTCTATTTTATGAAAAACCTGAGAGTATTCTTTAATTATTTTGGTTTTCAATGACACTTTATCAATGCATTTTTTTTTAAATCTATATTCTTTTCAATTATTACAAAAGCCAACGTGTTACTTTTAATGCTCCATATTGAAAATATATAAATTAACTAATGAAATTTCAAAAATAATTTTATTTTATGATATATTATAAGGTTTACATATTATGTAATTCATTTTATGGCATTTATCTGTGCAATTACACAAAATGTATCATTATTCTAATTTAATAAAATGCAATTTTTATTAATAACAAAAGCATTACATTTTTTCTTTTTTGTTAATATATCATAATATACAGGTATGATTACTTATAACAAGATTTTCCAGCTAACGACGAATCAGATATGTTCACAATATTTTTACACACAGCAAAAGTCTGCCTCGGGAAACTAGGGTTAAACTGAGGCGTAACTAATAGTCAGAGCAGCGTAGAACTGTAAGTGTGAAACAAGCGGCAAACAGTTCAACTGAAACAAAAAATGAAACATAAGCCATCTTGAATTTACACAAGCAATACCAAATTCCGTTAGAGGGTTGTGTGTTGTAGGGCTGTGCTCTAAAACCAACACATGCTAAAAGGCGGAGTCTAAACACGCTCTCAATGACGGTCGCCAGAGACGGTCGCTAAAAGAAGTAAGTGAACAATAAGCTCTCGAAAACAAAGATAAGCCGATAAGTTTCGTAGGCTGGCAGATAGGTAGGTAGGTTGTCAGGTAAAGCAAACGTATTATTAGCCGAAATGCAAAGCAGAAAAAGAATTGTAAAAATTTTTATCGGTGTTTCAGTAAGAGACTAACAAGTACGGTGTACGGTAATATCGGAAGGTATTATCGCACGTTAAGTATTAAGTATATTTAACAAAAGACGGTGTCAAAAAATTCTCAAGCAGAAGCAGTTTCGATTTTATTATTATCATACGTAAACAAGTGTAGAGTTATAACAGCAACAAAAAATCGCGCAACTCTACAAAAAACTTTGATTTGCCTTTTTGTTATAAACGGAGTTGCATTGGATTATAAACTGCAATTATTGTGAGAGCGTAAAATATATTATAGCAATTAATTTATAAATTGTTTAATATTAAAATAATTATTTGAAAATTTTATAAACAAAAATATTGTGTTTAGAAAATTAAAAAAATTAAGTGCAAAAAAAATAAACAGTGACTGATTTGATCTGGCACTATTTGTCGCCTAATTACGAATAGCGGAGCAAAGCGGAGTTTTTATTTTCATTTGCAAATTGAAGTGCACCTGAAGTGGTAGAAACTGCAAGACATAAAGTTAATAACGAGATTTAGATAAAATGTAAAAAAAATAGCAGTTTATGAAAATTAGTTCTAAAAAACTTAAACTGAAAATATGTAAATCATATATATACCAAGTGTTATTAAGTACAATTAATTAAACAGGAAATGTAAACAAATATATTATTGTTAGAATATCACCATAAATAAAATTTAAAAACACAAAATTAGATATATATAAATATATCCAATATATAATTTTTTATTCGTTGGAGTTAAAGCTCTAAACGGTGACCAGTGATTTTACCAGACAAAAAGTGCAACAATTACGCATAGCCAATAAAGTCACAGTTCAACCAAAACAAACTTTAATAAAAACCAATTTCGTTAGTAACGGAAAAAAAAATTACAACAAATACAAGAATACGTACATTAACTCGGCAAAAAATCAAAAAATCAAAAACTCAAAAAATCAAAAATTAAAAAATATAAAAAGTATACAAAGCATTAATAATATTATACATTATTCTGCTTGAATAACAATATATAGCATAAATATATTTTAAAAAATATTTAACTACTTTAACTAAGCAACTCTAAAAGCATTTAAAATGGTTTCATATTACAACGCATTGCCATATACGCAAAAGCACAGTGCGGCCAATTTGCCCTATCCCGGTAGTCAGTCATGGCAATGGGCTGCAAACTATCACACGACTCCAAATCATCAATTCGATATGGATCGACATGAAATGTACTATAATCATCATATGCTGCATTCAGTTGTTACCCCGGCTTCAGATTGGCATTCACCAACTTCCTCGGATAATTTTACGCAAAATGCGCCAAGTGCGCATCAAATCTTGCATCAGCAATCATATTTTAACAGCGGTGGCCCTAATGGCACTGGCGGTAGTGGAAGCGGTAATGGCAGCGGTTCAAGTAATTCCACTGCTTCCGGCAGCAGCAGCTCAACAACGGCAGGTCCAGCATCGACTAACACGCAATTGAATGAAACAGCTAGTAGTATTGGTGAGCAACACATCGCCGAAGGTTTACCATCACCTCCAATAACAGTATCTGGTAGTGAAATATCAAGCCCTGGTGCTCCTGCATCTTCTTCGTCACCACATCATGTAACACATCATTCAAATAACAACACAAGCCCAACAACAGCCAACAATAACAATAATAGTAGCATTCATAACAACAACAATCGGACATCACCAGTTAAGGCGCAATATTATGATTGGATGAAAAAACCATCTTACCCAGCTCAACCTACACCAGGTAAGACTATTTACAAATTAATTGTAATTTAATTAATAATTTGATCGAATGTACGGTATTATTTTTTTCTACGGTATTTATAATTTCTAAACAATTTATTTATTTTTTTTTTTTTTTGAAAAGTATCCTTTAGATGTTTTTTTTTGTGAAATTGTTTTTGCTAAATAGGGTTTGCATATAAAATATTCACATATATGTATGTAATATAACGTCGTTAAGTTCTGAACTTGTTTACATGTAGAGATATATAAATCTCTGCGAATCTCATGTCTTACCAGCGGTAAAAACTACCAGCGGTAAAAACTATTTGTCTTAAATATTCTTTCCTATATTCTGTTCAATATAAATTTCTGCGAAGCTCCTGTCCTATTAGTGGTAAAAACTACTTATGTTACTTGTCTAAAATATTCTTTCCTATAATCTGTCCAATATAAATTTCTGCGAATCTCATGTCTTACCAGCGGTTAAGATTACTTACTTGCTTAAGATATTCTTTCCTATATTCTGTTCAACATAAATCTCTGCAAAGCCCCTGTCTTACCAGGGTTAAGACTACTACTTGTCTAAGATTCTCTTTCTTATATTCTGTTAAGACTACTACTTGTCTAAGATATTCTTTCTTATATTCTATTCAATATAAATCTATGCTAAGCCCATGTCTTACCAGTAGTTAAGACTACAAGCTTGCCTAAGATATTCTTTCCATTTTTCAGTTCAATATAAATCTCTCCAAAGTCCGTATCTTTCTGCAAAGCCTAAGATATTCTTTCCAATATTCTGTCCAATATAAATCTCTGCAAAGTACGTTTCTGTTAAGATCAATATTCATTTAAGTTCAGCGCATATAAAGATAAATTAAAATAGGATATAATTATATATATTTGTAACAGAAAAAAAGTGTTTGAGAGATAGACGGGTAGGTTAATTAAGGATCTCATTTTAAATTTTTGTTATTTTCGTAGCATTACACAGATTTATTAATACTAATTACAAAATATATAAGTAGAAACGAAAATTATTACTGTTATTAATATTTATTATAAGTTTTATTTTAATGTTTATATAAAAGGTATATTATAATATATGTAATGTGTTACAGAAGACATTTGAGAGTAGACAGATTCTTGATCAGTTTAAACTTGATTAGTTTAAAATTGTAACTATGTCTATATCTTTACTAAATATTGTAGCTGACTAATTAAGCTATAATTAAACAAGGGCACTGAAAAAGGGTTTCTCTTAATACAAACAAATCATATATCCTGCCTATAAAAATTTTCATATACGATCTAACTATATTATAGATAGTTAGATAACTCATAGATATTAAATTGAAAATGAACGTTAGATTGTTATTGCTTAAGAAATTGCATACAGATTGATTCAGATTTAGATTTGTCTTTCATATGAATTCATGGGTTAATTTCAAGTTTTACAAATATTTGAAAAATAGAAGAAATGTCTAAGACTGTGACCTTCTTATATGTTGTATGAAAAGCCTCATATGTATATTGTGTTATAATTATGCAATAAAATTAAATTTAATTGTTATCTTAATTTTTTTAATAACCAGTTTTGGTTATTGAATTGAATTGAATATATCTCTAAGATATATAAGAAAACAAATCTATTGCATTAGTTAGTAAATTATTGCATTAAAATCTTTTAATGTGTTTGATGAAAGCTATTAAAGCATTATTTTGCAATAAATATTATACACTTATACACTATTATACACTATAAACAATTTCTAGAAGATTTAAGCGAGTTAAATTTCTTTTCCTCAATTTTTATTGAACATTTTTTTTAATCATATAACTTTTATTAATTCTTCGTTTCTAAATGTTACAGCAAAGATTGTTTTAATATAAAGCGAATGTTTATGAATTATATTTAGATTTCAAAATCAAATCAATATTCCTTTATAAAATTTATATATATATATATATTCGTTTTTTCCTTTCTGTTTCATAAAATTATGTATATTGATCCTTTTTACGAGTCAGCGCAACTGAGCACTTTTACTCTTTGATAGCTGGGCGTACTACAGGGTCCCACCCATCTTATTGACTAATTTATGTATTCCTTATTAGCTTCATGATTATTCAGTGATTGATCTAAGATCTGCGTACCTCCCCTTGCGGATAGTGATTTCTCTAAGTTTAGATAGTGCTAAGTAGGATAGCCTGTCAGTTTTTGCATATAACTTCAGGTTTCTGTCCCTTATGTATTTTTTGATCGGATCTATTCTAAGGTTTCTAAGCATGTCATTTGTGCGGATGTAAAAAAGGAACTTTGAAGAGTCTTTGGAGAGCCTGACTTTGAGCAACTTGTAGCTTTTGTAAAGTAGAGTCGGCAACTTCATAAAATTATTAGTGCAAATACAATTACTGCAAATTTTTGCATCACAATGAATTCTGTCTAATTATCCATTATACACTGCACCTTCATTATGGTTAGTTTCGATGAATAGTTCTTATCCATTGATATTATATATTTTTCTAAATTTTTGTTTTGATGATAGCCAATATATTTGGGTGATTATAGAGCTGTTGTAACGTTGTGGCTTAAGAGCATATACGTTTCTTTAAGGTTATTATTAAGCATCAGATAAAGCAAATTTTCTCGTTACTACACGGATTTACGTTAATGTTGATATATTTTTTATACTAGTAATGTGTAAATGTTGTAAAAAATAGTTTCACAAAAATTTAATTTTCAATAATTCATTTATAAGAGAAGATTTACTATATTGTAAATCAATAAAAAAATTTTCTAAATTCAAATTTTCAATAATTCTTTTATAACAGGTAGTTCACTATTCTGTACTTTTCGCTTAAATCGATATTGTACATATAAATAAAATTCTGTGTTACACAAAACAACGTCGTTATTGTTGCAAATATTCTGTCTGTTGTTTTTGAACATCATTTTTGCATGTTTAGGTTGTTAGTTTTCTATTGTGCACCAGCTCGTATATTACTCAGTGAATAATAAATTAATAATAATATAAAACGATGGTAGTGATTGGTGAATAAAATTATTGTTAGGACTAAAAAAATTTCTGTAGAACACTACTTTCTACTACTTTATTTATAATTAATGCATAATATCTTAATAATCTTACCAACAATTTTAGTATTTTCTGCAGAAAATGAGAAATTACACAACAATTGAGTTACTTCTTTCAAGTGTGAAAATATACATAAAAAAATTTTCAAATAAATGTTTTAAATACACATTTATTTTTAATAAATAATTTATAACTAATAAATATTTGTATAATTCAATGGATTTGTATTGTAGAGTTAAAACCTTAATTTTGAAAAATCTAGTTTTAAATCCTAGGATGGTTTAGATCAGTGGTTCCCAACCTTTTTTTGACCAAGGACTACCATGAAATTTTTTATTTTAAGTATAAAGTGTATAATAAACTGTATAATTATTTTAATATACTTTTTAATGCCTTTCTGTCATAATGTATGAGGAATTGTATAAGTGCATATGTAGATTATATGGGCTATATGTTAAAATAGGTATATAATTACTTGAACATTTTTTGTGATTATTTTCTAATAAGTGAGGTTAAATTTGATTTATGGACCATTTTCAGCCATCTCGAGGACCATCTGCCGTCCGCGAAAATACAGTCGAGAATCACTGCTTTTAAATTAAAACTAAAATTTAGTAATTATATATAGATACCCTGTTTTGTATTGTACATTTATGAAAACGCACTGTAGTCTGAAGGGATTCACATTTGCACATATTTAAGAATTTTAGTTAAACCGGGCGCGTTTTATTCTGAACATTTCTAATATATATTTGTATACAATTAATTAATTAATATTATTAATTAATGTTTTTTTTGTTTTTTTTTTTTTTTGTAATTAAGGATAACAACTAATTTCCATATAAATAGGGCTGAATGTTTTGGTTGTCTTAATCCTATATAGACCACTATAATTAATAAAATTTAATTTAGGACTACAATAGTTTAGACTAAAATTAGTTTTGTTAAAATATTTTAGCGAGTGCTATAGTTTTCCTAATATAATATGCTATTGTTTATACTAACGTACAAATGGTATACAAAATTAACTACTTTTAGGTACTCTCTAAATACAAAAATACAAGTAATTGTATCTTTTAGTGGTTCACACAACTACCTGTAGTAACAATATAACAAAAAGAAAAAAAAAATATTGGATGGCCTTGTTAGACGAGTAGAAAAAACATATTTCGCGGAAAACATAGAAAAATTTGAAAATTTAACACATTTATCAGATAATTGTGAAAAAAGAATACGGAAACTAAATATAATTACCTAATGGATTTTTTTTTCTAAGGACAAAAAAATCCTGAACCATATTTATACATACATATTTACTATATAAACTTACACGAAAGGTAGTTTATCTAAATGAAGTAGTTTAAAAATGATTTTAAAAATGATTTTAAATAAAAACTTTTTTCTTTTTTAAATATTTTTTATGATTCAATTTATCATTTATTAAAATAAATTAATTCCAGCAAATTTTCACACTAAAAACCGTCATACCTAATATTTTATATATACATCTAATTTGCTTAACACTCTCTGTTATTTGTTAAATTAAAAAATGAAATTATTATAATTTATTTGTATAAATTTGTATTCATAATACGTGGGTTATTCCCAAAATTCTCAAAGTAGACTTCGCATATATGTGAAGGAAATATTTTTGATATTTATTATAAAAATGTACATAATTTTTTGAAAGGTGTTAAAAAATTTAAATTTATGCAATATACATTTGTATAAATTCATTTAAAAATATTGTTAAAAATATATATATAAAAAATATGCTTAGATAAAATATGCTGACTAAGCTAACTATTTAATGCTACAGTATGAATACAATGTTGACTAATTTTGAATCATAAATCATTTAACAATAAACATTTTCTGTATTATAAAATGAAAGCCAAAATGAAGAATCCCAAAATCAATAAAACTA